GCTCGATTCACTCAATAGTAGTAAATTGATTTTCTCCCTAGCAATGCCAACTTGATGAATCGCACACTATAGTACACATCTTTACATGGTCGTGTCTTTCCCATGATCGTAATCATTCTTTTCAGAACGCCGCTAAATAAATTACAGGGTCCGCAAAGGGTGTACAAAACGAAATGTACAAATGCCGTGTGAAATGTAGCACCATCGCACATGCCTCGCTTGTTCATGTCAGGTTTCTTTCATATGCAGTCGCCTCTCTTAATGCATTAGGGCTTGTCAGACGGCGCTACATAGTGTTCGAATTAAGCTTCGCTTCACTGGTCAGGACTAACTTGCTCACGACCAATAGTCTCGCAAATATATCTGCAAATCGCTTATTCTTACTTTATTTGTATGGTATGTTAGTCATGTGTTTAAAATATTAACGAATATAAAATTAGAATCCAAGATTAATATTAATAACATATCCGCGATATTCTATTACTCAATCTCCGCATTGCAGAGAAGTATTGTCAGTAATTACTGACCAAGAAAAGCAAACTCCCCGATCAGCGAATCGGCCATGTCGAGCATTAGTATTCCCTTCTACAGAGACACCACGATATAAAGGGGACATACTATACTTACGTTATGATACAATGCACAATACAGTTGCCATGGGAAACGAATTATGATTGATTGTTTCTGGCATGATTGTTAGTGACGGTTATTTTCTCTCTTGAACTGATAGATGTAAAGTCAATGACTGTCGGTTGCTGGTTTCGTTTACCCAAATTTTCATCAGTATGTGCCAAGTACCACGCCTGCTCCCTTAGGGCAGTTACCCATGTCACATACATTATTCATAGTGGTTTTACCATTCCATCGTAGACAGGTTCGTCAATTGGGAAATCACGCAATTTCATAAAATGTGTGTTATGATACACCGTCATTTCACAGAATTAAAAATATTACTTTTGTCGGCGAAATGATACCATTGAAGAACATTAATCAAAATATAGTTTGTATTTACTGAAAATATTAATTTATATTTCTATGAACAAAGTCGATTTTCGGCACTTTTGAACGCATTGTTCTGTGGATTTGATCAGCTGTAACCCGATAAAACCCTGTTATAATAATATTCTGAGTAAACCTTGGTATTAGAAAATGTGATATTAAGAAATGAATTTACAATTGTTATCTGCATTGATCCATATTAAAAGCAGTGTTTGGATTTAGAAAATGTCAGCTTTCGAGATAAATCCGTAAATAGGTGATGGTTTATTTATTAATAATGACGGGAATGACAAACGTTCACAAGCTTTTGCGTTTATTTGGTTGCAAGATGTTACCCGTGTATAGGTGTATGTATAGTGTACCACCAGTGAAATCATCCTCCGGGGACCAGTGGTCAGAACCAGATGTCGACTACCGGTACGCTGTGTATCTTGAATGTCACACGTGGTATGGTCATCGGAGTGTATGATAGTTACCCAACACATGTGTTTAAAACCCAGATAATTAAATAGTATCCATTTCATCAAAGGCTGCTACCCTTTCCGTTCATTAGCGGCATGTATGGCAACGCAAATGTGAATTTAAAATATAACAAAGCAGCATAGAACAAAAAAACTCTTTTATTATCTCGCAAATTATAGGTTGCCATTGAACGTTAAGAACCGCGTGTTCAAATTAGGAAGTACAGAAAAGGGATGTGATTGGGTAATAATTGGTCATTGGATTTAATTGGGAGGAGTGATTGGCTATTCGCCGGATCTTTTTGGGATACGTGGTTGGCCTTACATGTTTACGATTCAACAGGTGGTTCCGATGTCAACTAGTTAAGATACTGCAAAACAGTATTGATACTATCAATGTGTACTAGATTAGACTCCACTCTATTTGTCAGCGATGTTACTATAATAATTTACAAGATGAGATGTATGTACATTTGGATTACTATGAGAGGCTGGTAACGACTCGCAATCCCGATCAGTCTTTTTATCGCCTACGTCTTTTATTCACAGATTGAACCTAGTAACAGCGACCAGCCCAGCAACTTGTTTTAGTGACCCTGGCACGCGACAATCAGTCCCGTTACTTCAGTCATTATGCGCTGCGTTCAAGTATACGGATTACATGCCACAATTGAGTTTGCATTCTCAAAAGTAAATTGACATTGTAGATTTTCTTGCATGTAGCATTGACCTTTGTACAGCGTGTACACAATTCGCTATGTTCTAGTATTGATTTCAAACCCCCAATTCTCTTGTAGCTTTATGTTTTGTGCTCCATTTCACGCATGCGTGGCTGCTTCTCACGCTTGAAAAACGACCCGTCCCGTTAGGTAGAGACC